TCTCTTTTCTTCCCTTTGCTCCTTTACACTCCCGTCTTCGTCGTATAGGAGTGGAGGAAAAACTGAAGTGCCGGATTTTTACATCTATATTCTTAAATAAGCCTCATCATCTCGCCCAGTAGCGAAAGAAAACCGCGTCGCCGAACGAAGTGCCCATGTATAGTTTCACCTCTCTCCAGCAGGAGGAATGGAGATACGAAGAGAAAAGATAAAAAAGAAGACCAAAAGCAACAACTAATAGAATATGCAAGAAGAAGGAGAGACCCAAAAATGAATGCGCTTAAACGGGAGGACCAGCAGAGCAATGTTTCCGAAACGGGGGATCTGCGCGAATGTCTGTATATAGTGAACTTTGACACTACTATTGAAACTGACACGTTTCTATGGAGATCGCTGCGCCTTATATGGTGCTCATGTCAAGGAGCCAAGAGAGGGGCTGCTGGAGACTGATAATCAAAGGCGACTGACTGGCCAGAGCCCTGCATAGAGGAGGAGGAGAGGAGGAGAGGGGGGAGATAGGGAGAGAGAGAAAATGGGAGGCTAAGGTTATAGCCAAGCCCTCTCTTCCTCTCCATTGGTTAGAGTCCCCCTCCGTTCATTCACTGCAAAAAATGTCCATCTCATTAAGTCATTGGGTCTCGTGTTCAAATGTTGAAATGTTATATTTTTCTGAAAACACAGTAGAAAAAATGCAAGTGCAGTTAAGAGAATGATGCTTGTTCGTATTCTCAGTCCGACTCCTTTGTAGAATAGGAGTTAATATCCTGAAATAAAGCAGCATATGAAGGGAGATTCCTTTATAAATGAACAATGATGTAATACAATTTACAGTGATGGGCAGATTGGCATTGGAAACAAGTGGAAGCACCTTGCTTCGATGGAAGATTCGGTGTCTTATTCAGATAAATCTAAGATTTCCAGACTCAATACTCGACTGACTGATGTCTGGGGATGGATATTTTTTGCAGTGTTGCAATCTACGGCTGGAGGGGCTGGGGGGCTCTGACAGCCACAATTTACATTGAGCTCGCCCCGCGCTGCTATTTACTTTGAAACCTGATTAGTATGGGCCGTCTATTGTCACCAAAAAGAGGAAGAAATCCTGAATAGAATAGCAGAAAAAAGCGGGGTAAAGGCAAGGGGGGACAAAGCTTTTACGCACGACAAATAAACCCAAAAACTGTGCGCAACAGCGAAAGGGGGACTCTGGCTCCAAAAATTAGCCAAAGTTTCAAAATGGTTTGTCGTGGACTCATATATTTTTTATGAAAATAACGGGTGTCAGTATTGCATTGAAGCGAATGTATATGTTCACACGTTGTTTGTCTTTGGCATGCGCATTGCGGTACATTCTCGTCTGTAATCTGCACACTGTCGCTGATTAAAACTTACAATTTAGTTAAAATTAGATTTTAAAGGGAGGAAAATGTCAATGGGGAGAATGATGCATGAAAGAGAGTGTGCTTTACAAACGGGATGCCGAGTCAGTAGCCCAATATCTCAAAAATTACACGGAGCAATAAGCAATACCCAATAATTACCGAGGTCCTATAGTCTCCACTATCACTGAGCTCGTGTCACATTATGTCTTAATAATGACAGTAATTCAAAATCATGTGAAGTTGCTGGGAATTTGCATGGGGATTCCGGCTTTTTTTGTATGAGGGTTTCTGCGGGGTTACTACCGCTCCAGCTAAAAAATGTCTGGATCGCGCTGCCATCTAGCGTACATTGTACAATTACAACCTCATATGAATGAATGCACAAGTCATCAAACATGAATTTGTAATACTATAAAGTTAAAATACTAAAAAATAAACTAAGCCTAATTTTTGCGTACCGTTTCCTTTCCTCTTTTTCACTTTGAAAAGTACAATCTTTTGATGTAATAAGGGAGCAAAGAAATGTTCAAGAAAAATAACAAGTACAACTCATACTAAAACAAAAAACAACTTGTCACAAAAGTGCACAAAAAATGGATTTCATGTTATTTAAATGTACCAAAAAGTGAAAACGCTTTGCAAAAATAATATCCAAAACCCCTAAAACACACATGGTGGAAAATGATAATCATTAAAAATACATACAATTATTATTTAGAACAAATAAAGTAGTTGTTGTAAACAGATCTTTAACCACATAAAAGCTATTAGCAGACAAAACGGAGCGTAAGTATGCAAGTGCCCCTTTAGAAACGCATAGGAGGGATGGGTTGTTTTTTTAAGTATTCAACAAGAGAACTCTCTCTCCCGTCCCTGTCTCGGACACTCCACTAGAACTCCCCGGCCATATCTCCAGCTCTTTGAAAAGGTGAAACCAATAAGATTAAATCGGACAAAGATTTTGTTCTGTAAGTGTATCATTAAGATTTAACTCCACAGATTGGAAAGGGGCTCCGCGGGAGAAGAGGAGAGCAGCGTGAGAGGGGCAGCGAATGGGAGCAGGGTAGGGGTTCTAATAGAAACCTGGGAAACGGCGAGAGAAAAAGTGGACAGCAGGACATTAAAAGAAGAAGCACCGGCGACGGCGGTTACCAGAAGAGCAGCAGCCCTCAACCTGGATAAAACCAGACACCATTAAGGCAAGTACAATGTTTATTTCTCACTTCTCCTACGTTACACACACATGGCTCTGAATACAAGGCTAAATTGTCACGCAACATGACCGTTAACTTCAAACCACATAGCCGACCCGGGCAGTGTCAGAGTCACAAGTTTAAAACTAGATATTTCCCCCGGATGTTGGACTTATTTCACCGCTTTCCAACTGTCCTCGCTGATTTGTAGATCAGATAGTAGTTTTTACAAGCGTCTTGTAGTACCGCTGGACATGGGAGTCTGTATTTTTCGCTCGAGCCGTGCACCTCACCTGCAAGGCTATTTGTTGTTTGAACACATAATGAAAAGATCGATAGCAGGCTGTTTGTCTCAGCGATAGTGTCACCGGATTAAAAGGCTGATCAAAGAGAGCAGCCGAAACCCATATTTTACGCTGTTTTCGAAACGCCAGTTTAGCCACAACATTGTCAGATGCAAATATTATAGTTTGGTGCAAAATCTCACACACCGGCAAAAACACGTAGAAAAGATTGCAGCGAGGGAATGAAAGAGGACACACAATGTAATTTATCAAAGCAGCATTATTAATGTTAAGGGGTTCAAATGAGAACTGATATAAAATATAGTGTGTAGCAATGTGTACCACTTACTACAGGACAAACTGAACGCCAGTCAGCTTTGTAAAATAACTATAATAAGATTTAACTTAATCCTCTCATGGGTGAATAAAGTTCATGCTAATTATTCATTTCACGTGAGCCATGTAAGATTTATTTATAATTTACATTTCTCTAGTTATTCTACCTTTTGTTATTTGGGAAACAAAATATGCACAGGCTGTTAAATTATTAAAAACATGCATATAATTACATAATCACATTATTATTAAACATGTCCAGGTAATGGATGCTTTTGCGCATTAGCAGTCGTTTTACTGTAATCTCTACAACAGATAATTAGTGATCGTGGAATATTGAAATTCTATCTGACTCTTTCTATTTTAATCCAAATTGAATTCTCCATAGTTTATATATAGCCTAACTCTTGCAATTTCATGATAGTTGAAATGTATAGGTGTAGTCAGTTTGGCCAAATATGTGATGCTCAAGTTCTGATGCTCTTACAGTATGACGTTGTAAAACTCACGAAATGTAGTTCCAAGCAGAAACTAACCAGCAGCATAAAGGGAAGACACTGAGGTCACAAGTGCAAGGTCCCCCAATAAACAACACGTGACTATATGGATGAGTTTTAGTAAATGTAAAACGATGCATCCGGATGTAAGGATGTAGGAATGGTTGAGGGTCTGTTTAGTATTGATTGCGTGTAAGCACACCAGGATACATCCACAGCATAGCCAAACATATATGGGTTGCTTCGCTCTTGCATGTGCCTCTGCTCAAAACACCTCCTGTTTGCACACCAGGGTCATGTTTCTGGACGCTGGACTAGAGGGCCACCTCAAGCTGATGCTGATCCCTGCGACCTCAACGCCTGCCTGCAAAACTAAAATGAATAAACAACCAAAACGAATAAAGTGATGAACACCTAGCATTGTTACACATCTTCATGCTGGGTCCAGTCTATTTAAATAATAGAAGCTGATTAATATACCGAGCATGTGTAGCAAATACAATACGATGCATCTCCAAACATAACGTTACAGTTGTTGGGGTGTGTATATTAAGAAGTTTGTCACTAAAGTTATTTTTCATTTCTAATAAAGGGATTTAGGATTAATAAATGCCGCTGATAATGGCATTTCACTTTATTATGTCATTTAGTGGAGATGGTCATTTGTAGAATAATTTCCCGAGCCCATGGACTCTTACATTAGCGCCGTGTTGTTGATATATGGCATAAAGCAAAGCATGTATTTGGCTTTAGTATTGTTTTCTGAGTACATGAAAGCAGTAACACTGCAGTGACATATTGATTTATGCTGGGGGGAATTTAGTTTTGAATGACGATAAAATCGTAAAATATAAAATGAAATAAAGGTCTTCGACCTCATTTAAACAAAAGTGATTATGACATAGTGTCATAAGTGACTATTTAGTTGTTACAACAAAGTTTGTGTAACTTTCCTCCGCACCTGTAAAAGCTAAATGTATTAAATGGCACTTGCGGAAATCGAGAAAAAAGGCAGATTTTCAACCGTGCGCACTGCGCTGAACACAAAACAAACACAAGCACTGTCATATTTTAGAAAGTCCTCATTTAAACAAAAAATAATTCAAACTCATTCTTTTGTTACTTTGAGTGGTTGTGTGTTGAAAAGGGAGGAGGGGGCGAGGGGTGTGTGTGTGTGTGTGTGTGTGTGTGTGTGTGTGTGTGTGTGTGTGTGTGTGTGTGTGTGTGTGTGTGTGTGTGTGTGTGTGTGTGTGTGTGTGTGTGTGTGTGTGTGTGTGTGTGTGTGTGTGTGTGTGTGTGTGTGTGTGTGTGTGTGTGTGTGTGTGTGTGTGTGTGTGTGTGTGTGGTGGGGGGCTTCTTTTTGTCCAAAACTGATCCCCAAATTATTCTGGGGGCTCAGATTGGTGTGAAAGGGACGAGAAGGTCACTTGAAATCGCCTTTTATCCGCTGGCTTTTTTCTATGGATCAGCAACTTTCAATAGACATAATCTAATCGCTCTTAATGGAAAGGCCATTCGTGAGAAATAGTGGAAATATCGTTGAGCCTATAGGCTACAACCATTTAAGACCAACGCATTTAACAGGCAATAAGAGTTAACATAATAGCATGGCTGTTAATTATTACTGGAAACTGAAAAGTGTTTGCCGAAACAGGGAAAGTAACACACAGTTTAAAACCGACAGATGCAAACAGCATTCTGTGGATTAAGGATATATATATATCTTAATTTGTTTTATATTTATTATAATACTTAATTATTTCATAATTGTATTGTGTTTTTTTTAAATTAATATATTATTTTGCCCTAAAAGGACTTTAGTTTAGCAGTAAAATTGCACTATCCCATAGTTTGAATCATGCTAGTTTGTATTATTGTGCCTTTTCTCATTATTTTTATTATGGCCCGTGTCTCCTGAGATTTGAGATCCCTCAGTTTTGGACGTGATAAATGAAAGTCTCTTTCTAGGGTTTTTGCATCCCAGACTATAATTGTGCACAATAACTGCAATGACTTTCCCAATTAGGCTTGAGGTTGGAGTTAAGTTAGAGGGACTGTCAGTTTAAGCTATGGGCAATGGCTTTATTGCTAACCATCATTTCTTTAGCGCCCATGTGCTAATTACTCTGGATGGTCCCAGAGACGGAGATTATAAATCCATTAGCACCCAAAACCTCGTGGTTCCACAGTGCAAACACTGTAATTTTGTAGTAAAACCAAAAACCAAACTTTAAGTAGCCTACCAGAAGCTAGATGAAGGGAAACAGATTTGCAAAAGCACATGTGTACTTCTTAGACATCCACTGTGAGGGGAAGCCCAGCGTATATCAATCAGCAGCTAAACCGAAACACAGAGTAAACGAAGCAGGACAGAACATTAACTGTCAGGGGAAAATGTCTCATCAGTGGTCGATGGTTAGATTCAAACACGGTCTGTTTATATTACTGTGTCAACTTAATGTAGCATTGTAGTCATAAATGATCAACACAACACCGTTTTCATGTGGTTTCTATTTTTATGCAAGTTTGGTAAATAATGTATTGTTATTAAAGTGCATTAGAAATATCCAGGGAGCGCCGCGGTCCGGAGGAATGAAGTGAATTAGAAAAATACATATTGCCTGTTAACTGCGTTTAAAGAAGGCAGTACAAAAACCGGAACCCATACGGGGGTGCGTGTGAAGGCATCTCACCCTTAAAGTAATTTATTTCAGGGAAACCGGAGGGCAAAGGTGGAATTCTTGAGAAATTCAACAAGGATAAGGGAGCTTTAGGAATTCTGCACGCAGATTACCTTTCATTCCATCCTCACATTATCCGACAACACACAGTAGAAATATAGCTCAGCGACAAAAGAGCGAGATTACCCTCCGACACAGAAGAGTGCAAACAATTTTTAAGAAGTATGGCGATTATAGGGGAGCGAACAAGGAGAGAGAGGCAAAGGAGGAGAGAGGAAGGGGGGGGGTCAACACAGTATAGGAGCGATTCAATGTGTGCTTTCAAAGGGGGAGACACAAAAAGAAGCTCGTCGTTCATAAAGTGTACTGTCACTGTCGTGTGGGGGACCCATGTTAAAACAGTATTTAAAACAGTAATTTCATATTAAACACAATTTTAAAATGAGCAGATGATTACTGATTGGTTCTTTTTAGGTGACAGTTTGTTGTTTACACTGTTGGTTATGATTACTGACCCTGGGTCAGAGTTTGACCCCCTTCTGGCTTAACTTGTTTGGTTGTTTTGGTTTGTAACTAACTGAGTGGCATCACATCAGCACTGGGATTTTTCCCCCTCAATTTTCTTACCCCAAAACCAACACACAGAAGGGGTTTAATTAGAAATGTAGTGTAGCTGAACCATCATAATGCTGGAGCAAAATTGGCAGATTTACATCAGTACAGAGAAAAAAGGAAACAACATTGGTCCGATTGGGTAAACCACACATTTATTTATTTGTCAGCCCTTAAAATATGATATGCCATAAATGAATAGCTGCAATACAATGTTTTCTTCAATTTAAAACATCTCATATATATATTACATATAATGCAACAAATATAGCACAGATTATAAAAAACAGCACATTTCTTAATAAAAACATTAAAGAAACACATATATATATTTAAACCAAAAGACATCCCTCCCTCTTTCACACCAACCACACTGGACGGAACCCTTTTGACATTTTGTGTATTTTCATTTTAAACATGTGTGTTAAAAGACAGTGAAGTGAAGGTGTGAAGGTGGCCTGTGTTTAGCGTCCAGACCTGGCAGATTGTGACCTTATCAATGTGAAACTCTTAAGATAAATTATTCATAGCACCTGTTTGATGTCTCCGGCCAAAGAATGACAAAGGTGTAAGATTTAAGATCCATCTCAAAAGCCATGAATATCAGCCGCTGTGCTACCTGTCCTTTTTTTAAGAGGAGAAAAATAGATAGATAGGCTGCATTTTAAACCATGAAAATGAACAATTTGTTCCCTTACAGGAGGTGCAGACGAGAGCAGCCAGAGAACAGACATAGATACAGTAGTAAGTGCACGCTAATCTTCATTTGTAAATATATTAATAAAGCTCAACATGAACTCAATGTACCAGTTTCAGTATGCACAGTGTGGTTTCTGTCTTAATGTCATGTGACTCACAGGTGTCCAGTGATTATGTCGGTCACTGAAGCAGACCACCCACACTGTCACTGCCTGCTTTATCCTCACTTTAATTTGAATCTTGAAGCAGAGAGTTTGACTGATTCGGCGGAGCTAACCTTGCCCTTTTGTAACCGAGTTTGTGTTGTGTCTCTTCACAGGCAGAGAGCAACATGGCGGCCAGGTGTTCAGAAACACAGCGGGACGTGTCGGTGTGGTGCAAGGATTGACACTTGGATGAGATGTAATTTATTGCGAGTGCTGTTTGATTATAAGACGTTGATGGTGATACTACTGCTTAGTATGAGCGTTGGCCCACTTGACATGACAGCCCTGCAGTGACAGGCTTATTGTACTTAATCAAATACGTATGTGGTAAATATAACATCAATTGTAAATTAATAGTAACTCTTAATAGATTTGAACAGGCTGCCCTCTCTGGATTGTATTGGTCTGTTAAGATTTGTTCTGTTCACTAAGTACATTTCTGGAGTGTGTGTTTATCAAGTACTAACACAAACTACTCAGAAATGAATCCAAGCATCATGGAACTAAAATGTGTTCTCAATGATTTGTTTTGGAAAAAGACCAGTATGCCTATTCGCAAAATGAAAGCTGATATTTTCGTAGCTAGAGGTCAACATAATACACTATAAATAAAACAAATAAGAGTAGGACTGATAATAATGATGATATATACAGATGTACAGATTATACATATACAGATTAGTTTGAATTATGTGTGAGCGCGCTGAAGGAGAGGTAAGGAGACACTCTCACAGACGCTTTCACACATGTTTGTGTGTTTGCTTGACTCTCTGTGTGTGTGTGTGTTTGTGTGTGTGTGATAGCCAAGTCAGTTTCCCCTCAGATGTTCCCTTTGACCTTTGACCCAACAGTTGGGGTCAAGCCCTGACAAATGAGATGGTCGAGTTTTGGCCAGAACTGCAAACATTCCACAACAATCTTCTGTACTCCTCCTCCTCCTCCTCCTCCTCCTCCTCCTCCCCTCTTCTCATATCCGTCCTTCCAGTATGTCTCCTAGACGAGAGGAGGGAGAAAGTTCTCATTACACGAAAACATTTTTTATTGAATTTGCTGTGGGAATCTTAAAACACACACCCTTCAAATGAAGAATTACGGCATCGGTTAAATGTAATATCCCCAACATCTGTCTTGTTTACAAAAGGAAAGAAAACAAAAAGAGTATGAACACAGGACAAACATATGTGTTAAAGATTGAGATTTTATAGCCCTGCACTTTGAAAGCACACTGTGTGTGTTTGGAAAGCTTGTCAGTGATGTCAAGGATGAGAAATGTTGCAGTGTGTTTTTTTTACACACACTGCTGGCTCTAGCATTTCCGGCAACATTTCTCACTCTGCCTCCCTCACACCACCCGCTCTGCTGCAATATCCCCACATTTTTCCATCCTTTCACTTCTTCCCCTTCCTCCCTCTCTGTTCGCCTCGTCTCCACTCTATGACCACTCTTGCTCCCGTTACCCTTCCTGCACCACCCTGCTCAATCTCAGCCTCTCCCTCCCTTTGCTCACCTCCCAGCACATTCACTCACTCCCCCCTTCTCCCTTTTTCCTCCACCCACTATTTTCTCTGATTTTCTAACCTGTCGTTCCACAGAATGCTACCACCTGTGTCTTTAGAGGCAAAAGGGGGGGCTATTGGAATTCCTTTTTGGAAAGCTGGTCAAGGTAAGTGGCACCCTCTATTACAATGACACGGCAAATTATGGTGCTGCCAGTTGTGTTTCTGCATTACGGGGTCTTTTTTTTCATGGAATGAACCCGGCTTCCTAAGCATCACCACTCTCTATCAAAGCTCTAGCTACAAGTCACTGCTTTAAAAAACACACGCGGTCACCATTGATGAACGTCAGCAGAGCAACCTCAGTGCCACAAAGGAGCCTGGAGACCAACAAAGCCGGCTGATACAGTAACAGAGTGGATCATGCTCTTGAAATTGCTTTCATAATGATGTAATTTTACTAAAAGGCAATGCAACACAGCAAAGATCTTAATAAAAACATATCAATCTTAATATGTGTGCGTATGTGTTTTTTTTCCCCCTCTCACTCCCGGTAGAATTGTGATATCATTTGATGTCGGCTGTTGTGTGATTCATCGGAGGGTACAGCTGCTTCACATGGATCTTGGCCTGGACAGGACTGTTTCCTCACAGGGCAGCTGATCACATGACTCAATCACACGGATAGATCTGAGCTCTAATTGGCCGTGCACTGGCCGTCACCGAGGCGAATCTGGGTGCATGTGTATGGCTCTCTGCTTTGAATAGTAAAATGTTGGGTTGTTTTTTATCTTGCTAGGCAGAAGGCCAGTGAGTTCTGTGTATGTTTATGGGTGGGGACTAGACCAAGGAATGCTTTAATGATGAACAATGCAAAATAATATGTCATCACTAGTACAATCTGCTATGATCTGCAATTGAAACAATGCAGTGCTATAATGTGCCGCTGGAATGTTAAGCAATGAGTGTAATTTGTGGCTTCAGTTTATCTGTACATTACAACAAAGCTTTCCTATATCCTCTCTCTTTCTCCTTTCACCTCATGGCCCCAGTTTCACCCTATATTCTTTCCCACCCAAGTTATGTCCATGCATTAATGACCAGTTGGCTGCCTGTGTGTCCAGTGTAAATAAATAATAAAGCTCTCCTATCATTCTCATAACCATCAGCTTGGTGGGGTTAAAGCAGACAGCAAGCGACAGGCAACAGGGAGAATATGTGTAGGCGTATGTGTGTAATCATGGCCATGTCCATGGTGCAGTTTAGCTGATTGTGTTTACGTCCCTTTCCTCCTCCTCCTCCTGCTCTGTATGTCCACAGGCAACTAAAGGCTATAAAGGAAGGGCTTAGAGCTACTTGATTCCCTGCCACCACCCACCGTTGCCCCAGTGTTACCGGAGCGTGGATGTCTGCCCCTGTCCCCCAGAGCCTCAGTCTTGCTCTCCCCCACCCCACTCTACCAACACGCACCCACCAACACGCACCCACCAACCCAGCCCCCCCCCCCGACCCCCAATCCCTCCACCTCCCTGCCTCGCTCCCTGATTCAGTGTGTAAAAGCGCCCCCTGAATGATGGATTACTGTGTCACCGCAGCCTGTGCAGGATTAATTTGTTTCATTGATTTCTCTTTAGGCAGAATGCCAGCGTCTGCCGCTTCCCACCTTTTCCCCAAGACTCGCAGCTGTAATAGACGGTAATGGCCTAAGACAAATCAACCCGTTTCTTGTAAAAATAGCACCAAATAACCCTTCCCACCCACCCGCCTGCACTTTACTCACGAGCACATCGGGAAGTGGTGGCGGTGGCGTGGCATCAGGGAGTGTTCGATCCTTCCTCATCCTCCATCTCTATCACTCCATCTGGCTATCCTTCCATACCACCGTCCCTCCTTATCCTGTGCTGAGACAGAGGAGACCATCTAGTCACTCTAACAAAGCCATAAGTCTGCCGTACTTACAGCTCCCTTTCAGGCCTCACAATGGATGGGTAATGACAGCGCTGTCTGGAGGGGGCTGTGGGAGTTGGGCCATTCTGTCCAGTAATGGAAGCAGTTACTGCCATTCCCTATACACCTGCAGGAACAGCTAACTGTTAACCACTGTGATCTATGGCAAGGCCTTACCGCACCACTCTAAGGTTGAAGGGTTGTACTGACATCGCTGAATTAGGGCATGTCTGCACTTCACTTTTTCCCCCTGTCTTTGCTATGGTGCATGAAGTTATTCTACTGTATGTTGAGAGCTATTGAAAAGAGTTATTCATAAACAAATCTCTACCAATGAATCAGTGTTGATATAGCTCTCACCACCGCAGACTGACAATCTAGTATTCCTGACATTCACTGATTTAACGCTGACATAAGATGCTGCCACATCTTTACTACCCTGTCACTGCCATTGAACGATGGGAAACCCAAACTGCCTGTAACATTAAGAACACCACTACAGGCTGACTGTCCTAGAACGCTTTCCAATTCCACAGAGATTTACGAGCAGAACCAGATCCATTAATCCATTGTTGATTTGCAGTGGGTGCCCTGCAGCATTTTTGGGATCAGATATTATACAGTGCTGAAACTCTCCCCGTTGCACAGCAGGGTAGACTGTAACACCCTGATCCGTGCTAAAAATGCTGCAGCAGGCATTAGGAAATGAAATACAAGTCAGTGTTTTTCAATGTATGTCATTAAATTCATGTCACATTTGAAATTCCTGTAACCAGTTTTATCACACGCAACCTGACAGATATATGAACTTTTGACAGAAAATACTGTCACTTACATTCAAAATGACTACATAAACCATAGTGACAATCCATAGAGGGCTCAGTACGAGGGAATTAGAGCTGGTACACAATGTGATAATGACCCGGGCTGCAGGGAAATCTCATCAGCTCCCTGCAATCAATTTAACAGCGGTTACAAAGCCATGGGCTGAGGTTTGTGCTTGGGGACAGAGCACTGGTCACCTGGAGTTACACTAGATCCCCCTGCTGAGCCGGCCTCTCCTGGGTAAACCTCCACAAAGCCCCCTCATGTCTGACACCACCAGGTCCTTCAAATACTGCTCTCAGACAGAGGATTAGGTAATCTCACCATGATACCGTCTTTTTCTCTATTTCTATCTTTTTTTGTATTCCTCATTGTCACCCTTTCTCTACCCCGGCATTCTCATACCTTACATCCTCCCTCCCTCCCTCTCTCTGTTCAAGTGCTTGTTCTACTCAGGCGCATCTATCCTCAGGGGTCCTTACATTCTTAAGTGCCTCCAGAAAAGGTTAGTTTGCAGGTAATTGTCCAGCTGGGGTTGGGCTTATCTTAATTGTGGGTGCTTCAGCACAAGTGACACTACCTTTGATAAAGAGACGTACAGTATGTTGAATAAATAAAGATGTGAGGACAGTACGAGAAAAATATTCACCATTTTAAAGAGTATTTAAGGTTTGTGATTTGAAATATAAACCGTAATTTGAAATTATTTAGTATTATTAATTTATACATACATTTGTCTTCCTAAAAATGTATTTCCTGTACATCACAGGATAGGTGACAAACTCAATATGTGACTTTCCAAGTGACCCATAGTGGGGAAAAGCAATGCTGACCTCATGGTGTTAAAATCTAAATGACTAGCTCCTCAGCCACTCTAAATCTATACTTCTATTAGCCATCTGATCATATATATATATATCCATGTCAATAGGAAGCTTTGAGGGGTTAGTGTTTGCATTGCCCCAGTCAAAGGTCATGACTGACCAATAAAATATTTCCAGAGTACCATCAATAATTCCGACATGCAGACTAATACAGTATGGGATTGTGGGCAGGGGGAGGAAGCCTGCTGTGCTCGCTCCAAGCAGAATGGATGAACAAGAGGCCAAAAGGTTACCGGACAGACTTCGGCCCCCTGCCCCTGCCCCCTCTCATATGTGCATTTGATAGCGACACAGGCAATTATAAAGGTATACTTCAGACAGGTCAAATGGGAAAGGGCAAAGAGCAGAACCTTCAAAGCACTGGCCTGAGTCAAAGGTTAGGATGGACATATCCCATCATAGCGTGCCGCTGGGAAAGGGATAATAGAATCATAGCCATAAAGACACAGACTGATGAGAAGGGAACACAACTGATCATATATTGTCTATATTAATGTGATATTTTAAATCGACAGAGAAAATGACGGCATGAAAAGATGTTAGGCCTGACTACAGTTACTACTTGTTTGGAGTGTTTATGTGGTGCGTGTGTGTTCATACACTGTATTCAGTCTAATGAACCATCAGGCTTCATGGCTATTAAATATGAACGGCCCAAGGTCAGAAAGGGTCATGGTATGCGTTTAGCACCAGTGACCAATGGCAAATGTAAAGGTCAAAGTAGAATTGCCTGAGTCGGAACAATACAACATTTTCTCATCCACATTTATGCATTCCATTGGCAGTGATTTATGGAGGGAGATAAGCGTACGGATGGGAAGAAAACACTCTCTTTCTCCTATCCCGTCAGACTCGGTAAATACACTACTCACTCATATCAATCACCATGTCACAGTGAATCGCCACTGTATGCTTCCTGCTCAGATTAAAAACTGCCTTTGTCTTGCTCTGCCTTCTCCCTCCAGCTCTGGGGAACACACTGGCGGTATTGTTGCTATTTCACAAGCTCTATATTAGCATTTCAAACAGTTGTGGTACAATGGTAGTGTGTATGTTCAAAGTCACAGGATGGTATGGATAGATTCCATAATGTATCAATCATACACTATGGAAGTAGGGTCCTGAATTGATCGCAAAAATACGGAGAATTTCTTCTTTTTTTTTCCTGTTATGTGACAAAGGCTTTTTCCAAAATGATGTTCCCACACTTCATTCATTAAAAGGCAGTGTAGAAACTGTTGAGCTATTTTATTGTCTTTTTATTAGTTTCATGCATTTGATAGTATCAGAATTCCAGAGCATTTCAAACAGTGCAAGTTGGAGCAGGTTTTATGCTTATAAAATACATCACTGCTGATTAAAATCATTTCCCCTCCTCTGTCCCCTGCAGGACAACATTCCTGCGCTACAGCCAGACATTCTGTTCAGCATTTTGTAGAAGCAGCCGCTCAGGGGGGGTCTCCACTGGGCCAGCGATTAACTCTATAACCCGGCTTTTAGATTTGTGTAGGCCTCTTGAACACGGTCATGTTTCCCATGTCCCTTTGGCTGCTTAAATGTGAAAACCAGCCTGTCGCTGGTGCACCACAGCCTTTGCAAACTACCCCCAAGTGGTTCAGAATTCAGCCAGCGAAAAGTCCAAAAAGAAAACATGCTTTTGAACTGGCAGCCAAAGCGGAAACATGGTCTAGTGAGCTGCTTTTTAACCTGAACCATAAAGACCAATTTTCCTTTCCTCCAATAGTAATACATTTGGTCCTTTCCTTTATTACAAATACTATGTTTTTCCATTGTAAGATCAAAGGGTGATAATGCGTGACACCATAAGTACCAGTGTATATTACCTGACACTTTGTGTTTAGTCCTCCATTAGTCTGGATTTCAGCTGCATGCAACTTCAGTATGACAAAAACCTCTTTAACACCAGAAAAACGTATAGAATGTTTCTCCTCTGGAAATCATATCAATTTCATTGCATCAACTGTAGAGGTCAGCTTTGAGGATCACATTTTTACAAGTTTAATACCAGCAATGACATTTCCCTACATGCCTGCTGTTCAACAATCTGTCCTCCCTGCCTGTGAGAACAACAGTTCTAAAGGCCGTTTATATACAGGACAAGTTCTGTATGATCTGTCACATTCATCTCTATTTCCCATTCACCACGGGGCATTTGAACCACATCAGAATCTATTACCACCATGCAGATTCAGCCCCTGCTGACAATACAAATCATGATAAGATGGAGCTGTGACTCCATAAACATCCTAGCACATCATATGAGCTGTGCTGGATAGCAGATCCCACTTGTCTTCTCTATGTGATCGTATATTTATATGGATATCATTACATCTCTGCCTGTCTTTAACCTGTGTCTGTTACTACCTCATTCAAACAATAGATATAAATACTTGTGTGTGTATTCTTCTGTGCGTGTGTGTGTTTATCTGTGGGAACATCCATCACTCTGCAGTAGGGGTTCCAAATCAGCTGCTTGTGAGGAGAGATTTATGCTGTAATGCATCAAATCAACAGACCTTTACAGTAAAATATTATTTTATCAATAGGCCTGATCAATAGTGCATGCAAGACGCAGTGTAATTATTACAGAGGTCCGTATCAATAAAACTGTCACGCATGACCTCCTGCCAAAGGCTATGGAGCAGGGAGTCACAGACAGTCGAAGAAACGTTTGTGTCACGGCCCTGGGATGTTTGATTACCTGTACATAAGGTCATATCTGTGAGGAACCATAACTCTTCAGGACATCTAGGAAGAAATGAGTCAGGCATAAAGTTTTAACAGTATCAACAAACTGCTGGATTGAAACACATTCAAACCTATATGTACATATATCTTGTATTATACTGACCAATTAATACTAACAGGTGTGTCTAAAAACTGTCACTGTCAGTAAGTTGTGTTCCCTTGCACCTCTGCAGACATTCGAGAATGTAAATGATAGGGATGCGGATGACTGTTTTTACTGAAAGAGGATCATTTGTCCTGAAGCAAGGCAATCCAAGAGTGGAAGAAAGACTGTCAAAAAGGGCTTTGTATTACACTGTAGTGGGAGCACTCTGCTTAACACACATAACACACACCCAGCAACAGAAACACACACAGTCGCAGACACACAGTCACAGCGCACCGGGGAGAGAGCGTGAGGCAGGGACCAATGAGGCAGTTTATATCGGGATTTGGTTTCACAGCCACGGCCTCCTGGGAGAGTGGGGTCTGCCAATAACACTTAAGAGACAGAGCAGGAAAAGTAAGTGCTTTTATTACAGCTCATCACTCATGTAATTTCTGGCAGCATTTGTGATTACAGATCAAGTGATTGACTAACTACACATTCGGCGGCTGAGTTATGAACCGGGGGCCTACCATTCCAGCCCCGGCAGATTCTCCGTGTCGGCTGTAACTCATCCTCTCCCTGGGTGCTAAATCAAAGAGCATACTGCGGCCGGAAGAGTTAAATAATAACTTGAGCTTTATTGTAAATCTGTCAAAAATTAAACCTGTGTGGACGTCCTGGCCCTGATGTTGTACTGCAAGGGGTGAAGAGGCAGGATAGAGGGGATCAATAGAGGCCCAGATGGAGATATTGATGGATGACAGGTGAAGCGGGTGGGTATTTGTGTTTGTGTACGGGTGTGTGCATGTGTGTGTAAGGGGTGGGATTGAATCACCCTGGGGTTAGGTAGAGAGCACGGCTCAGGGTGTTTAATCGACAAGTCTCACCTTGAATCGATCGGAAGGAGTCTTGCAGGGCAAAGACGTGATACACACAACCAACACTTACTCACACACACCAAAACAAACCATAGGGAGTGAGGAGACGGTGAGGTGAGGGCGGATGTCTCAATGCCATCACTATTGCATGGCTGTATAAAGTAAGTGTTGGGTTTGGTAATCACAAAAGCCATCAGACTCACTTCAAAAGCACTTTTGTTTTTTCCTCATCACCCTCCTGGATAAGCAATGCAATACCTTTTAAATACTTTTGTTTAAGTTCACAAAATCAAACCTTTTACCTTTAAACACTGTGACCACAGAAAAAATAGCTTTAATGTTCAGATTTATTTTTTGTCTCAGTGAAAAAATAGCAGAGAAGAAAGCGAACCAAGATAATTTCATACCCATTCAATGTGTCAACATGACTCCTAACACCCTTGTTATGCAAAACCAGGGCTTAAAGTGATTTAATAAATCTTACAAAATAACTAGTCATATTTAAAATCAATATGAATAATACTAAGAAGTAATTGTATTACTTTTTGATGAATGTGTCAAACCATGCACTGCCAACAAACACACACAATAACATCTTATTGACAAAAGGTCCTTTTTGTCAGAGGAACTACTACATGGTTGTGTTCTACATTGTGGCGAAGAAGAACTAGTTTGCAAAGACTGCAACACTAATGTAGGAATATAAACACAGAGCAAAGAAGATTCAAAGAAAATTCTGTTTCCTGTAATAATCCAACTTACTTTGAGTGACCTCACCAAATAGTATTATCTCCATGAGAGCCCAATTCTCTTACACTCAAAAGAGCTATAGTAGCATGCTCATGTGACTCATACTGCAGAGCAGCCATGATAACACTCCACCGTGAAATGTTTTACAAGGGGCCCAAGATCTTAGAGGCTGTTTGTCTTTAATAAACAACATACTGTTAGTATCAAAATTAATGTGGCTCGATAGTACGTAAAATAAAAAAAACACTTTCAACCCGCTCAAGTTCTGCTGAAATGTACCGATTCAAGGCCTCTGCAGCTCCGGCACGCGGCTTTGACTTCAAGTCCAAAGTCTAATGCTTTCAGATAAGATCAAGGTTCATGAGTGTCATTGACTGAGGCTGTTTGTAAGAAGAGCATATTTGCCAAATCACAGTGTGGTGTAGAGTGGAGCCCATTAAGGCTGATCTGGAGTCTGTTTTGGAGAGCTCTTGTGGAGCAAAAGAGGCTGTTTGTCAGTCACCTAGGAGTGAAAAGTATTTAGCTTTGTATGTGGTCTACAAAAAGCATTGTCAGGTAGAAAATAGAGTGCACACTCAATAGCCAGTAACGTTTAAAAGTCCACTGTTGGATAGAACTGTGTATTCCAATAGATTTGTCCAATATGTGCCAAGACAGGAAACCGTTCTTCTGTGTGTGGGACGGTACCTCAATAATTCACAAGGAGAAGGAGTTGGAGTAAGTGTTGGTCCAGGGCAGCAGGAAGGGGGGGGGGGGGGGGGTGGGGGGGCTTCTGAACCATCTCAGATGGCGAGACGAGTCAAGTCTTGAGACAAGTGTGTGGTCTTTTCCTTGAGCAGGGACAACATACTCTGATCAGCAGGACCTGTACATCTCCCAGGATGTCTGGGAAGTTATTTGGACAAATTCCATCAATGTGCAGATCTCTCCTGAATAGATAAAGACAAGAAAGGAATATATATGAAAACAGCCTACTTTGTCCTGAGGATTCGATTACTAGATGCTGGTGAAATTACCTGATGCTTTAACATAATATTGAACCCTGACACGTTCTGATGAAGTAATATATTAAGAGCAAAAACCCAATTCAGTACATTACATTATATACACACTTAAACTATATATCAATGTTCTGTTGGAAGACAATTCCCATTTCTTCATTTGTTCAGTCCCTGGAGAATATAAAGGTTTTTAAATGTCATTGTTAACTGTTTACTGTTTGCAAATTACTTTTCTTGCAGCATTCCATTATTAAAGTCACACCTCAAGCCTGCCAACCAGTTAATGTATACTTGCTTCTTTAATCCCGGCCAAAGTGATTTAATAATGCCTCTTGAAGAACACAAGCACTTAGCTCTCTGAGGCAGGTTGGAGAGTGGATATTCATAGTACTAGTGTAACAAAGAGGGCCAGCAGCCCAGTGACATCAGCGGGTCATCCAGATGTTTCCATCAACTATTTTCAGTCTAATAAAAGTGAAAATGATCTTTGAATTGTACACACAGGGGGCAAAGAAAAATAATTGAAATGTAATATGTGCAAAACCAGCTTTCTTCTCTTTGAAGACAACCATTAAACATAACTAAAAACTGAGGCAATTAGATTATTTGTTTGTGATAGCAACATTAACACTCACCTTTAGAGCCTCAGCTAAAACTCCATCTCTCCATCGGACCTGGTTAAAGATGCAAAGTAGCGAATACTGTCCCTTCTTCTGCATGGTTCTCTCCTCAGCTCCCACGGCCCTGCTGTCCTGCTACATTCTCTCCCATTCCCCCTGGCCAGATTTGATTGATGAGTGGCCATTTCCTCTTCTGTCCATCCCTGTTGAAGACCTGGCAATGGCAAATGCTGAATCGTGTCACGCTCCATCTCCCTCATCTTTGTTTGGTCTTTCTTCTTCCTCTGCAATCTCACTTTCTTCCTCTTTCTCCTGCTCCTCAGAGCTCTCTGGTCTCTCCAGACCATGAAGCAGCTTGAGCTGAACCTGTCTGGATTCCTGTCTGGGTGATACACAATATATGCTGAGGTTCTTCCTACTGTGAGACAATTTGAATGTAATGTAATAGTAGATTGACAGGAAAACAGACAACATTTGATAGAAGGCATTTACCTATATAAAAAGGATGGAAAATGGCATAAACTGCACCCATGTGCTTTCATGAACTCTTGACAGATTCACTTCTGATCCAAACCTCTGCTTTGCCAACAAAGCTTAAAGTTGAGTTCATGCAACCTTCATGATTAATACAATTTAGTCAGTGTGTACTTTTCTAGGCAGAGAGTGTCTTACCTAAGGGCAGTAATGAGTGCATTACTGGACACAAGGTAACCAATATGAATCTAATCTTAATAGTTTTATGTTTGCTCTTGACTTATATTTTTAAGTAATTGATTTAACTTTAACTTACCTAAGTAACTAGCTACTGTACCTACTGTATCCATTGTCTGAATAAGGAAAATACATTTGACACCGTTACCATAAATCAACTACAGTCTATTGTTGTGTGTGTGTGTGTGTGTGTGTGTGTGTGTGTGTGTGTGTGTGTGTGTGTGTGAGAGAGAAATGCCCTTGTTAGGTTGCCTTCATCAGTGCACAGTGTAATTCTAATTGGCTTTATTAGGGGGCTTAAATCTAATACCAGCTCTGTGCGCTGCCTTAGGCTCTGTGGGTGTGGGTGTGGGTATGTGGGTGTGTGTGTGTGTGTAAGTGTGCACACCTCTGTTTGATGTTTACAACTAACCCGATCTCTTCTAGAATGTTTTCTATGTAACAGCCATGAGAAAACAGACAAACGCCGTAACATTTCCTCCTCTGCTTCAGCCTGAGAGCAGAGCCAGAGTCAATCATCAAATACAGCATTTAGATGTTCAAGTCCAATGAAACAACAGCACTGTAGCACCAGATATAATGATACAGACTTAGGGCAAGAGAAAAGCTGCATGAGACTGCACCACAACATTTGACCCCATTTAAAAACTTGATTCCAATTAGATAGTTCTGGGAGTAAATAATTTAAGAGACCCTTTCTCAATGAACACACACATTTTTTTACGAGCATGCATGTATGCGTGTGCATCAAAATGATCGTTAACCTATGAACATATACGCACGATTCTGTGCACACATGAACACGCACGTGCACCCGGATACATTCCACTATGCTCTGGAAACAGACTTCTTAATGAAGCCTTCCCCAAGTGAAAGTAGAGCAGAAATACATACTGGCCCATTTCTGCCTTCAGTTCACCCTCCTCTTCTCGCTGTCTCCCTCACCTTCTCCACATCATTTGTTTTATTCATGTTTTCGTTGTCTTTCTCTGTTGTCTCAATGAGTTAAATCACAACCCCTAATTTATGGCTACAGGCAAAGACACCTCTACAAACAAACTGGCTGATGAGAGGGGATGACTGAAAACATACGCGCCTAGCGGTGTGTGTGTACATCTTAAAATGTCTGTTACTGTCTTTTTATCTACGGTTATTTACATAAGAAATGACAACGTGTGTAAAAGAATGGCTGTGATGCAAAATGAAAAAGGCTGTGCACTGGAGGAGAGGGGAAGGGAGAGAGGGGGAGTAAATCCAGTGACACTGAGTGGGGAGCGCTCAGGTGTGGTGAGAGGATTATACAAAAACCCTGAGTATGAATGACAGTAAACACCTGAATGACAGAGAGACAGGGAGGGGCGGGAGCTTGTGTGTGTGTGTGGCTCTGGGTGACAGTTGAGTGGTCTTCACTGATATTCAGAGGTGAGTGAATATATTCTCCACTTAATGCTTTGAGGGTTGTGCCGTTTACTCAAGTGCAACTTCTTATAGTATACTATGTTATTTTACAGCATGTTTTAAAGAAACTGAAACAATGAATGAAAGAGGATTTGAGAAGCAAACAATGCATGTGTGGGAATGAGGATGTCAACAAGGCAGGCATGGAGGAAGATATCAATCAGGAGAGATCCACTGCAAGAGTTAGGGGGCTGTTGAGTTAGAGAGCGAGTCACAGATTGAGTTATACAGTATGTCAATAATAGGGCTATAGAGCAAGAAAGAGGAGGTATGTTTATCTTACTTTCACTGTGTTTTCTTTCACTGCGTTGGGAGGGGATCGCTGACAAGGTCTCTGAATCAAGCTTCAGTTTCTGAGTGAGCACGGCCCCTGTTCCCCTCTGAAACACAAACACACCTCTCATCACCTCCGATCAACACTTCGATGCCCTTTTGCGTCTTCTTTTTTACATCTTTTGCTCAGGTTTCTTTATTTCATGACTTTTCAGTTGCCACGTCACTATTTAAACATCATTAAGAGAAAGAGAGTTTCAATTTATATTTATTTGCAACTGACAAATCTGAAAGCATGTCAAACTATCTGCTGATTGTTCTTTACTCGCCTGGCAGGATAGATAAACTTAGCTGCTTTTTTTGCAAGTCATTAGAAGGAGTGCCAACACATTCACCCCCTCTTGTGAAATGCTCAAATGTGTTTTTAACCTTTGTCTTAAGGTTACATTCAGAGAAGAGCAATGCATGTTAACTCCTAGATCTGCTCTTAGTGAAATCCCTCACCTCTAAAGCTATATCAGTGTACAGCGCTGACTCTACATGAAGCGTGACCCCGTTTCCCCCACGGCGACCCCCTCCTTCTTTTTACAGCCTTGGAAGATAGAGGAGCACAGGGGAAAGGCATGCCAAGCTAGTAGACACTTTTAAGCAAAGATTAAAGGTTTTTCTTTTTAATCAGTCATTTGGCAGCGATGTTAGCATTTCACCCTAGTGCGGCTAAGGATCCATTTTTAATGCTGCGGTGCAGAGAGCAGACAGGGTGATTGGCAAGAGAGAAGCTATTTACAAATGATCTATTTACACATTTTCCATAGAAATATGCGGAGGGCACAATTGACATCTCTTACAGAATTTTAAATAAGCTCTCTCCCTCTCTCTTTTGTCATGAGGCACGACCTCTGTGAGCCCCTGATGATCATTGCTTTCTGTGCGTTTATGTGTGTGTGTTCACTCACATGTGTCTCACATGTAAGAATAATAAAGGCATCTACACCTCTCCCTTGTGTTGCATTGTTCCATGTTGTGCTGCCAAGGGCTGGGTAACTAGGTCAATCAACCCTGGTGTAAACACATCAATAATAATCCACCAAGAACATGCTAATGACAATGACTCTTTTTAATTTATATCTTTACTTTACCCCCTTCTATGCCAAAATACAGCTTTATTTATGCAGTGTTACTCCTTGAGGGATGTCAACCTCGGCTTGTAAATATCTAAGTAAAAGTAGGTACTTAGCTCACATACATATTGGATGTACTGTAAGGGTATGCCCTCCTCAGTAACAATACAGCAAAGTCTAAAAAAGTTATAACCAAGTAACACACAATATGTTTGTTGTTGCATAAAATAGATACATTTATTTGATTATGAGAAACATAGAATTAGCTAAGGGTTCATTCCAGTGTGTTGAATATTGGCAATGTTTGACAGGTATACTCTGAAACACTGCACTGAAAGAAGGCCTTGACCAGCAAATCTTGAAAAGTGGTCCATGCACAACTACATAATGACTCAAGACTATTAGATGCTTCAGATAAAAAAATGCCTGTGCATAAAGCAGGTTGGTGTTAAATATTGGTGATGTTAGACAGTTGTACAAGACACCAGGACATAATCTCACGTTATAGACAACGGAAACCTTTAGACCTAAACAAGTTCATGTTTGGACAGACCTGACACTGCCGTCTCCACACACATCAGTCTTCATATCCACCCTGAATCAATCCATATCCATCACCCCATCATCCATTATCCAACCATCCATTCATTCATGCAGTCAACCAGCCTTCAAGCCAACCAGCCCACACACCATTGATCCAATGATTGACCCTGCACTGGGAGGATCAATACTCTCTTAAATGGCATCATTGTAAGCGCTTAGGCACAATGGCCATACGTTGTTTGTACAGTTCATTTCCAAGGTAGCCAGGCCGTGCAGGGCTCTAACCCCAGTCAACTCTCCTTTCTCCTCCACTTGTGATAAGAGCAGAGAAAATAGGGAGGCACTGAAAAAAAGGCATTGAGGAGCAAACATTCTTTACGCAATACAACAAAAGGAGCACTGGTCCATGCAAAACTACTTGTAATGACTCAAGACTATCAGATTCTTCCGATAAAGATGCCTGTGCATAAAGCAGATATACAGATACATAACTATAATGTAACAAAGGAAAGTAGACAGAAAGGAGGATTAACATAAGTCATGTCTGATGTTGAACTGAACCATGTCACATTAGACACACATTTACTCCACTTCAGATAACTCTACTATTACTCTATGCAAGTAGTGAATAGAAATCATTCCTTAGATTTCTGACTGGTAAAGTAATAACCTAAACAGTATGAACCTGGAGGAGTACTATTCAGTAGACTCATGTTCAGTATATCACTGTGTGGCCTATTGTGGTTTGGTGTGCATACAGAAACCCTGTTGGGTTAGAGCTGAGGCCGGGTCTTGGCATTAAATGACTGGGACTCTGACAAGACTCCGAGTTCTGTCACAGCGGTTCACAGGTCTTGTTAGCCAAGGTGTCGGCAGGGGTGGAAATGACTGTGTGTGTGTGTGTGTGTGTGCGTGTGTGTGTGAGGTGAACATTAGACAGCACTCTTACCTCCACCTCCTCACCTGACACCAGCAATAAAACTAAACAGGCCAAGGTGCTGTGTGTGTGTGTGTGTGTGTGTGTGTGTGTGTGTGTGTGTGTGTGTGTGTGTGTGTGTGTGTGTGTGTGTGTGTGTGTGTGGACATGCACACAGGGGAAAAGAAGGGGCATGTGTGCTGCAGGGTTGTTGCTGCTGTCACCAATTTGCCGGGGCCTCCAGACGGGAGTAGGAGCAAGGTGACGGAGCTGTGGCTTGATAAACACAGAAGCCCTGCTTCGATTTCCCATCCAGTCCACTTTGGAAACACATGGCTCTTCCTGGGCGCTCGTGGCCAGGGGAGGAAGAAGGAGAAGGGGGAGGAAAAAGGAGAAGCGGGAGGAAGAAGGAGAAGGAGGAGCAAAAGGGGAGGAAAAAGGAGAGCCACAGGAGAGATCTAGTGATGGGTGTGCAGTGAGGAAGAATAGCAGCCAGGAGGAAGGTTGGGAGAGGGAGTAATGGGGGAAGGTAGAGAATGTGAGAAAAATAGGGCAGAAAGAGGTGACAGGCCTTGTGGGACCAGGTGTGTTCCAAAGAGGTGGCATACCTTCCATACTTCCATAGACTGACACAGAGAAAGAACAAGAGAAATTAAGAAAAGAGAGAAGAAAAAAGAAAAAGACGGATGTGATAAAGTTGAGGAATCTTCTAAACAACCTACACTCTCAAATATTTCTTTACAGATGAAAACACAACTTACACAGTCAAACTTCTCTTCTTAGCCCCCCCTCTCAATCTTTTCTTCCCTCCATCTCTTTCCTTTTTGCTTGGAAACCACTTGCCGTGTTCCGCCTTTCAACTAACATCAGAAGTTTAAAGACCAGCTCCAGTTGGAAGAGCAGAGGAGTGTCAGTGAGGGAGGTGAGGCACCAAACTCCCCTCTGCCCCCCTAGAGAGTTAAGGAGATCACATTTTAACCCCCCCACCAAACCACACCCTGCCGCTCCTCTCCTCCATACCTTAATACCAACATAAGAGGACAAGTGTGGGCTCTAAGCACCAGTGATCAAACACGAGCGGCTGCTGGTTGCGCTAGGCTCAGGACGGTTGGCCTAATAGGATTGAAAGCCCCCAGGTGAGCCAAAGGACACCTTCAATCAGCATGATTAGCCAGAGGCTCAACAGCACTTCTAGCAAAAGTACTAACTGATGTACAGTGCTAAAAGGATCACATGGGTTGTGGAGAATGTATGCAAGTCATGGAGTGCCGTGCCATGGTTGACGGTGCATGTCAAAGTTGTGTGGGGATTGATGAGTTTAAAGTTGCATGCCGTTTTAATGTGTCAGAATGATCTTGAGATTTTGACTGTTTGGTAATCACTTTTAAGTTCACTAAAGCGTGTGATGTGTGGAGCAGTGGAATAATCTTGTCTTTCTGGCTCCTTATAAAAACAGTGTATGATGTATACATGTATGCACACAGCTTTAATGCAAGTACACATAGGCAGAGGATCTGCATGCCCTCACCATGCATAAGTACACACACGCACACTGACTGACATACTGACACACACACACACTCACAGAATGACATACTGACACACACAGGCTTTTATAAACTCATCACATCCAAAAAACAATTACCAGAGACTGAGCTCATCACTGACTAAGCAAAAGTCATCCAGCGTGTAAAACACACAATATAATTAGCACACATCAAGCTGCTGTGTCCTACTGTGCATTAATGATGCCTCCCTCTGAAGTGAATGATGGTTTGATGAGTGAAAAAGTGAGTGAGGAGGGGCTTTGAGGAGGAGCAAGACATCATTTGGAGAGATGAGAAGCGAGTGTGGTGGGAAAAGGGGCGAGAAATAAGACACAAAACATGAATTTCCCTGGTTTGCCTATGGTGACGCACTCTCGTTGCCCCCAAAAACAATTAACCAGAGAGATATGAACATGGGATAGTGGACAGTCTACTCACTTGTATTGAGGGCCATCACATGCTAGGTTCCACAGGCGGCATCATACACCTGCATAAAATGAAAATGTATTTTAGGCAAGATTTCAAAGCAGATCAGATGAGGTATAATCTCATAAATGTTCCCCAAGACCCCCCTGCAACAGAATTGTTTATATTAAGCTGAATCCAATGGAACTTTAATTAAAAGAAAGTTTGTTTAACTGTATTCGATGAGGTGATCATTAAAGATTCTGATGCTAATAAGTTATGCTTTTATCACATCATCGATGAGGTGTTCAAGCGCTACATACTTCAGACTTTAAACCAGAAAGCAGTGCACATTTCAGCTGTCTGTGCTAAAGTGCAGACCATTTAAAAATATATGCATATGCAGCTCAAACTCATTTACTGGGAAAACCTTGGGTCTGTCATCTACTTTAGACCTGAAAAGTCTGAACACATGTGTCCAGTCATTCTGATACACACCTTCCTGCCAGCCGGTGGAACAGGCTGTGGGGTCCAGAGCTTTTGAGGCCAGGGTAATCACTAACCCAGGACACACAGAGGATCTGTCCCAAGAGAAGCAGCTCTGCACCTGCTGGAGATATGAACCAAAGGGACGAAATGTTCCAACAGATACATCAGAAATACATACAATGTCACCTTGCCACTTATTTTATGCATTTTAATCTGAACAATTAGAAGTAAAAGAAGCCAAATTATGATCTATTGGTATGCTGGTCACATGTTTCTGACCATCTCCAATGTGTAGCCAGATTCTCATTGTAGGTCCATGATCATTTTTACTAGGGACTGTTAAAAAAACACAAACAAATGATGTTGTCATGCTCGAATAACACAACTAAGTATCACAAGTGGTTGTGCCCTTTCAAAAGTGCTGGGGTGAGGAAGAAACTAGTCCCCAGTCTACCACAGACAAAACAATATTTAAAAAATACTGACTCCCAATAAGACACGTTAAAAGTCTTAATATTCACATCTTATTATTTTGGTTTCATTCTGAGCAAAGAGTAGATTTACATCGCTGTCTTGAGACAGTTACCCCACAAACACCCTCTCACCTGTCTCTGTGGTTTGTTGAGCAGAGAAAGCACATTCATAGTTGACATTTATCAAAGACACACACAAACACACAGTATGTACTCGCATACAGAAAACACTCAAGCATCCACTCACTCATGCTACCTCAAGTCTGCCTATTTAAACCTGCCACTAATACATTTATATTTACTGCCTGCATTGAGGACTTTTAAATTATAGCGTACAATAAACCTGGCACACACATCTCAAAAGCTCTTTCAGGGGATGTTAAAGCAATATAGTAAGCAATTTTCCAAAGTGGATTACAAATTTCACATCTAGGTTTTATTGCACATTACGATAACTTAACCACATCTAAATGTTCCGCATAAATGGGAAATATGTGCTGCTTAATATGCTATTTTTCATTTTTTAAGAAGCGCTTTGCAAACCCTGCCAAGCGCGGGAGCATGCTGGTTTGTGTGGTGGGGGAGTCAATAATCTTTATGAGGTGGATTTTAATTACAAGGAGATAACTGAGCATCCTCCTCACGGCAAGCCTCCATCAATCTCTATTCTGCATCAAGCCATGGCACACACACACACACACACACACACACACACACACACACACACACACACACACACACACACACACTTACTCATACCCTTTCAGACGCGATTGATCAATCAATCAGTAATGTATTATTTTTTGTCATCGACGCAAACCATATAAAAGCATTTGAGGCAGGCGTTGTTAGATGGATTTTACGACTAATACATGCATGTTCATACACACACACATATACAGAGACGCTGGCAGGGTAATCCAGCTAAAAAAGGTTAAGGCTGATGTTTTTCCAAAGAACGACGGTCTGTAAAAGGTCAGGTCAATCATGAGCTAAGCATGCATCATAAGCAATCCATAAAGAGCTTGTTTTGAATTATAACATTTAATAGATCACCTAAAGACATGACTGTAACACCGGCAGCTATAGGGCTTCACTCTCCAAATATCTTGAATGTGCCAAGAATTCAAACGGGACTGAACTTAATATGTTGACTGCAGTTCATTTAATGAAGCAGTGGCATTTCCAGCGCACACAGAGCCAGCAGACATCTCTGTTCAACAATAGGCAATTCTTTAACAGAATATTGCAGTACAGCAGTAGGCTGTAAATGTGCCCTGGTCTTGTAACAAGTACAATGCATTTTCTCTCTAAGTGGCTGATGTAACATTTGTAGTGTAACCACTTTAATTCCAGCTGTCACGCAGAAGGCAAGCAGCAATTGAAGGAGAAGTTGCCTGACACTTTGTAATGGTGTAAATGTATTAGAACTAGTTCTGAGACAGTTCAATGGCTCTCTATGGAGCCGAGGGGAGATGAATCAGACTGCAGAAAATCATACAAGTTAGAGGATAAAGAGGTAGGTAAAAAAGAAGATGGTACAAAGGACAAACTGATACGACCTGTAATGCATTGTAAAATGTATTCAGCAAAGAGCTCTCTGAGTTTGGCTTTTTAGTAAAACAGAAAAGAGAGTCAAGCTACTGGAAAAGCTGATGTAAAGGGATGGTGTGCCTCCTTATGTCTCAGTCTTATTAATAACAAAGTAGCCAAAGGGATAGTCAAGGGTCTTAGCAGCATAGTTTAGGGGATAGCTGCTTGAACAACAAGTCAATTCATTATGTACATCATCATTCTTATAACACTAAAACCGGGTGCAGCATTACACAATTTTGCTTGGTTTAAGAGATATTGAGAGCTAATGAGGTTGAATTTGTGCTCCGAGTGATGTCATATGAGGACACTGAATCCTTGTAGTGTTAATTAAAACTCAATGATGTAGATGAAAAATTAGCATGGCTGAAAGCCAGAGTGAGGGGTACTGCTGGGAAAATAAGGTTTTAAAGTTAAGAAGTTGTTATTATATTATGCAGAGTGAATACAACTTTTAAAGATATTTTAAAAACATCACAATGAGATATCTGCAGTAAAATTATGCAGCTGGAGGTTTGAGTAAAGCTGTGATATAAGCGACTACAATGTGATCTATGAAAAAGAAAAAGTCGTTGATATGTAAAGATTTAGTGGAGTAATGTCATTGTGAGCAGGGAATCTAGCATGTGTAGCACACTTGGACATTAAAAAAGGGACTTCCAGGCGTGCATAAGTTTAAAACCAAATCTTTTATTTTGTTCGTTCATTCCGTTACATACAGTCCAAACGTACAAGCACATCACTGCACGAGGCTGCAGACACTCGGCACTGTCTAATGAGTGATTTATCGGAATTAACATTCGTTTACATTCTGGTCTTATACAAACACAACAACTAACCCGCTAAAAACATTACCTGATACCATTCAGCACATATGCACAACTCACGATATAGCTAAAGGTGGTTACACTCTAGGTGCAATTAAACTAGCAGGTGACGCACATTAGACGCTCGACATTAAACTGGCAAATCTACGATAAAACATATAAATGCATATGATATGCATTAGCGCTAGTTTGTTACAGTTTCATAATAAATACATACATATATATATATATATATATCGTGTCAATACTTTTACACAACTCCTCGTGATCACATTAGCTTACCTTTAACATTGCGTTAAGTGCGTTTCACCTGAAGGACCCCTGAGCTGCCCTCTGTGCCTGTGAGTTTTACTCTTATTAAATGTAACTTCACCTACTAAATATAAAAAGTGGCATTGCACATGATTACATCATAAAACGACAGGTTAATTAAGTGCTAAAAAATACAACAATATATAAATAAAGTGCATTTGCAATACAATACAGTTTCATGTCCATAACCAGTCCCAATATTACTATGTGTGCGTGTTGTAATCAGGGCTTCTCTGTTTTAGTGCATGTGAGTCCATGTGTTTTTCCCACTGGCTAAGGTCGTCCCGACCAACACCGCTGAGGCAAATGCGTAATACACCTCATATATTTAATAACATATATATTTAAAGGTTATGTGTAACTAAGTAACGACTTAGTATTGTTTATTTATTATTTATTATGTGTAACACACAATGTACAAGGCATTATTTGCTTCACATAAATGCTTTGTTCCACATTGGCAGCAAAAATCATCACAATATCCAAGTTCCGTAGTTACTTTATTTGTACTGAACACTTTAATGCTATAATAATACAGCTGTTGAAAAAATGAAAACTGCACTATCATCACAGGTTGAATGTTTGGCTCACCTGTGACGGCTGATGTCCCCTGCCTTTATCTGTGACCTTAGTTAGCTGAGAATAGTTGAGGAGACGAGGAGTGTATCTAAGAATCCAGTCTCTCCAGTCTATTAAACTCTCCAAGTCCAAGCTGTCTAAGCGTTACAATGATATGTGTCAGTTGCATGATTAAATACAAGTTTAATCCCAACGACTTCATTGCTGATAGACAGAATAGTTAAATAACGACACATGTCTGAGTGGTATTTCAATTTTGGGGAAAGAACAATCTTCCCATTTTGTTTCGCACCAGCAGGTCACTGGGATCTATCATTTCATGCAAATGTATGCTGCCCTATGATGTTGCCCTGCATTCCTGAATGTAAACATAGTTGTTAAATTTGTCAAATAATATTTGTGTATCACATCTGGATTATCATAATTTAGCTGCATCTCTGTAAAACCTTGTTATCATCTGCTGTGTAAGGATATCCTGTATCACCTGAAACTGGCAATTCAACTCTGCTAAAATGGCTTTTACTAAGGAGGAAATACCTTTAAAAGAGGCATGTTTCTTTCACTGGCCAAAAATCAGCTGTGTTTAATTTATCATCATGTGCAACTGCCTGGCAATGCAATCCCCTATCGTTGAGTGGGTCTGTGTAAAACCCCTATTCGAACACAAAGGCCTAATAACTATAGCGTCTTCTGCAGTACAATAGAACACATTGTCCTTAATTTACATCTCTTTCTCTGTGTTACAAATGGTGAGGCTGCTCAATTTGACTTCTCTCAGCTGTCCTGCTCCCCTCTCTCCTGCTCGCTCCTGCAGAGATGAAGGGCTTTCTGCACTGTGCTCATGTGCACACCGGCATGCCCTGGCATATGTTTGAAAGTGAGCACAATATGTGTGGGTTTACATTTGAATGTGTGTGTGCGCCATTCGGTAATCTAGGTCTTTAATTGCTTATTCGTATGTGCGCTACTGTGAGGATTTGTAGATGCGTGGCAGCATATGTTCCTGCTGTGAGTGAATGTCTATGTATTTATAGTTGTGAGTGTATGCGCTCCCATTATTGTGTGTGTGGGTAATTTTACTTGCATTTAGGTACAGTTAGTGAGCAGATGTGTCCGTACCTTTGTGCACCTGAGTTTGTGCACGTGTTTATGTGTATGCATGTGTTTATACATGTGCATATTTGTGTGTGTCTGAGTGAGTGAGCACTGTCAGGTGCTGCTCCATGCTGTGCCAGCTGCATCTGGAGCCATCTGTGTTGGTGCTCAGTGGGAGGGGAGCGGATGACTTTAATGTACTTGAACCCCAGACAGACCTTTCCCAGACAGTCGTCAGTATGAAACCAAGACAACTGGGCCCAGTCAAGCTGAACGGGCTGATCTGGGTGGTGAGCAGGAGACAGACGCTTTGGTTACACTGTAACCCCCGGTCAGACACACTAGGGAACCTCTGGCAGTCAGATACGCACAAACACTGGAATCTGTTTGTTTCAATCATATAAGAGGTGTGTTTTGGATCAGAGGACACTCTGCTTTTCTTAGCTGTCAGAGTTGTGCTGCCTATTTTCTACAATGTAACAAAGGTTTACTTATTCCCATGTGTTTATTTATTTTAAATGACAGCTAATGTTTCTCATTTGGGTAACAAATACGCAACTCCAGTGGCACTTGTCCTCAATTTTTTTTTTAAACATATACTACAAACTATTCTCGTGGTGTTTACATTTACAAATGATATGATATACATATTGGTAAATAATGAATTATATTAAATACTCTACTAAAGTTTAGACTTAGGCCTTGATTGTCTTGCTTGTGACTTCCCCTTTTGCCCCCCAGTCTTATTCTCTATATGCTATGAGATAATTAAAAATAACACAAAGAAAGATATCTGTTCAATATTATCAACACTTCACCCGCAAAAAACAACAATACCAAAGTAACACACAAAGAGAGCACAGAGGCCTAACAATAATCTTTCAGCAACAATATGATTAGTGAAGCACAAAATCAATTAATGCAGCAGTGGAATCAATAGGTGTCTCTCAGCATATATGTCCTGCAGTTAATTAATAAACAAAAAGGACATTAAGCAGCAGAGCATCAGACTGTGGCAACGACTGTCATCAGTCACCAAGTGTGTACTGATGGCATCAGCAGGAAGGGAAAGGGAAAACATAGACAGATATAAATGTGAGCATAGCAAAATACCAAACACACCCACAGGGAATGATGCTTACACTACACACATACATTTGAGCATGCCCATGCATGGACATACTAATAAACAAAACGCACTCATACACATGCCCTTTCACAAACCTTTTTTTTTGCATGTTATGGTCTTACACACAGAGAAAGAAATGTAAATCCCTGGTATCAATAAAGCTTATTTGACACTACCGTAGAAGCCCAGACCATATTAGCATCAATTTGGAACAGGCCCAGGGTTCGATGAGGCTGAACTATGTTGGAACCGGGCCCGGGGGTTTCCACCACCACCAGGCTGGCTCACTTGTTATTTACCATGGCTGACGAGGCCGAATTGCAAGAGATAGACTAAAATAGACGTAGTCATCTGAAGTCGTACCTCAAACATGATAAACACATGGTACATGCTCTATCTAGTTTATAAAAATACATTTCACATAAAGGTAATAAGCAACAACACTGGAAAAAAAAGGTGCTTAAATTGTTTATGCTTTATTTCTATCTGTAATCTGCTCCTCCAAATGTCAGGCCTGCATGCTTTTGTATATTTTGCTATTAGTATTTTTTGTATCAGGCATATATGTTTGGATCAGACACACCTATTGTTACAAGAGCAAACAGGCAGACAGTGTACTCTCCATGTTCTTGTTATAGTTCTAATTTTTTCCCCCAATTCCAAATTATTTATCAAGAAAGAGTTTTGTTTTGTAGCTTTTGCAATTCATTGGTAATGCAGACATACTGTAGCTAATCTCTCAACTGTCGTCATCTGCTTTGTATGAGAGAGCAGTTCTCTTTCCTTGCTGTCTACCTCATTGTTTAAGCTGCTTAGAGTTTGAATTAGTAGTTTATTGGATGTTATGTCAATTCAGGCCTCTGGCCGGTTGAACTCCTGACACAACTTTAGCAGACAGTTGACATTAGGAACCGAGACATGACTCCAGACTGCGGATGCATTTGTCTGTAATTGGGTTGAGGCATCAGTTAAACCGGCTTCCTGGTTAATTCAATAACCCATAACAGTAGTGATGACTATATAGATATGAACATTTGACATTTTATTGTTATTTATTAAAAGAGTAAACATAAAAGTGAATGTTCCCACAACAAAAAGCGTCTCATATACCACTTATCGTCCTCGTTCTTATGCTTCCTTTGTACCCTATTTGCTACCCAGGTTACGCTATTCTGGCTGTGTCTTTCGCTCTCTGACATCATTCAAATTCCTTCTCACCTCAATCATGTGATACAGCGAAGGCCGTCCGTCTTTTAGTCTCAATAGGAGGAAAACAATGAGATTGTTATCTGTAATACTATTACCAGCCGTAATAGGGTTAGAGCTGCCTTGGTTTAAAGGCAGCGGAAAACTTTATTAGGTTTAAGACCTTTTGCTTTTCTACTTTTTCTGCTGCTACTGATACATAAGATCCTTTAAGCCCTTGAGAGAGAAAGGTATCAGCTTAGTGAAAAAAAAGTTCTGGATGGCCCCTCATCTCACTTCTTCTACAGCAACAAACAAAGTGTTATCTTTCAGAAGGTGGAACCTTTCTTATTTTTTAACATGTTGACGGCAGTAGTTTTGGTGTGGCACTGTGCGCCTGATTACAGGAGGAGTCTTAATCAGGTGGTGCAGTCTGCTCGGGGCCCCTGGGGCCGAGAGTGTGCTACATCCTGTCAGACTGCACAGAGAAACAATCAATCATCAGAACGGCTCCAAGACAGAGGAGAGAGAGGGCAGGGAGATAGGAGAGATGGAGGAACAGGAGAAAGAGAGAACATGATGAGGGAAAGGGAAAGAGAGACGGTGCCCTTGCAGAGACTAACATAGAGTTATATAGATGCAAGAACGCCTATGAAAATCCAATGAGTCTAGTTAGACTACAAGCCACCGTGTAAGGTTGCAGTGTGGAAGCCAAGGCCACGTCAAAGCTCATAACAACCGATGTCTAACATTTTCATTGCTCCCCCTGTCTCTCTAACCTTCACCTACTTGTTTGTTTCACGGTCCTGGCAAAGCGTCATCCACACTGTCAAGTTGTAAAAGTTATCACATTTTGGCCACGGTTTCAGACGACCTCGCAGATAAACACCAAAGCCAGGAGGAAAAAGAATCAGAGGGAGAGGGATACAGAGGGATTGAGCAGGGCCTAGGTTTTACACTCTCTGGGCTCTGTCTGAGGGCTGTGTAATGATGCGGCTCTTTAAAGAACGTCTTAAATGAAAGGCCAGAACAATCC